TCCTCCTCCTCTTCTTCTCCTCCTCCTCCTCTTCTTCTCCTCCTCCTCCTCCTCCATTATTATAGGTGAAGGAGGAAACCTTTTCTCCACTTTCTCCATCCCATGCATAGCTTTATATCTGCCGTGCCTGTTCCCATCCCGTCCGCTTTTTGCTAAAATGAGATTCAGCGTGGAGGATTTTGCCCATCTTTGAGCCCTCTCCCACAGGTTAAATCTATATGTGCTCAGCTGGCCCTGAGTCGAAAGCCAGTTCCCCCTGGGCGTAAGTCTTTGCTGGCCTTTCCTATTAACGGTGCCACCTGCTCAGATCTTTACGGGTAGTGTTACAAGGACCTGGCAGTTTCGGGCAAGAAAGGTCAGGTTGCTGCCGGAACGCTGCTCCCTCCTGTCAGCTTCCCTTTCTAAAGCCCCCAAAAGCTCCTTCGGTAACAAGATGCTAAAGGTCTGCCCCTGAGCAGGCATTCCCTGGGTCCAGCCGCAGCTTATCGCGGACAGCCGAGAGCTCAGTCGCTGCTTGTCCATCTCCTGTTGCAAAGCAGAAAGAGAAGCACCGAGCAGTGGCCAAGAGAAGCAGGCTAAGGGTAGGGGGTTCTCTGGGCCTGAGCAGGCATTCTCTGGGTCTAGCCGCAGCTATCTCAGACTGTGAGCTTATCGCGGACAGCCGAGAGCTCAGTCGCTGCTTGTCCATCTCCTGTTGCAAAGCAGAAAGAGAAGCACCGAGCAGTGGCCAAGAGAAGCAGGCTAAGGGTAGGGGGTTCTCTGGGCCTGAGCAGGCATTCTCTGGGTCTAGCCGCAGCTATCTCAGACTGTGAGCTTATCGCGGACAGCCGAGAGCTCAGTCACTGCTTGTCCATCTCCTGTTGCAAAGCAGAAAGAGAAGCACCGAGCAGTGGCCAGGAGAAGCAGGCTAAGGGTAGGGGAGGAGGAGGAGGAGGAGGAGGAGACATAGCAGAGACCGAAACGTGTCCAGCCCAGTCCATGTTCCAGCAGGTTATAAAGGCACCAGTGTTCTGGGGCACTCAGCCTGGCGTACAGAACCCCCAGTGTGCGTGGCTGCTTTGCTTGGCATGCAGAGGTGGTCCTCTGTCCGAGGCAAAGTCCCAGAGGAGCATAGTTGGCTCCCCGTTTCTGGGCAAATACAACCCTGATCTCCCCTGCTACACATACACGGGCCATTTGCTGGCACATCGACATGTTTACAGGTTGATCTTTATGGCCGCTTGAGTGGGGGGTTCTCGGGCTTAAAAGATGAATAACCCTTCCCTGGCCTTTCTAGTCTGGCCATGACAAACTGGGAACGGTTTGAGCGACATAGGTGACCCTTGTGGTGAGCTCCCCGCATGGTGGATGAAGAATCTAAACCCATGCGCCCAAGTCAGAACTGCGGTCCCATCTACCTCAGTGTTCGTCTGCTCGGACAAGCAACGAATCTTCAGGGTCTCGAGCAGAAATCCAATCGCTATCTTAGATGCTTGTCATCGAACCTGGAATTTTCTGTGGATGAAGGAAAAGTGTGTGTGTGTGTGTGACAACAGAACTTACGCACCTGGGTGGAAGCCTACCACAAGGTCAGGCCGATTCGCCTGCCGAGTCTCCACCTGCGATTCCCAGAAGTCGTGATAAAGGCCTCTGTAGCTGCTGAGGTAGACCCTCTCTCGAGGCCCAAAGGCCACCAACGGAGGCCTCATGATGGGCCCGTCGACCACGTCGACGCCCACCATCACCACCTCGACGCCCTGGTGTTTAGGAAACACGCGGGACAGCTCGTCGTAGTCCGTTACCCGGGCGTTGAGGGTCTCTACGTGGGAAGCTCCAACCACATGCTCGACGATCGGCTTGGCGTAGGGATCAATCCGGAACGCGTGCAACCCGAGGCCGATAGTGGCTGGCCTGGACACAAAGTCCGTGGTCACCCGCTTGATGGACTCCACCAGTTCCGCCTCCTCTGGTTTTGGCTTCCCGGCATTGGCCCAGAGAATATGCATGTAGCGGCCGGTCAGTATGGCCCCTAGCTTCTCGTCCAGAGCTTCTTGCATGGAAAGCCAGTCTTCCCAGTCTCTGACCTCCTGGATGCGTTTCGTCCAAGATGCCGTGGGGAAAGGGATGTCACCTACGGGAAGGATCGCAGAAATGTAAAGTTCACAGAGCTGTGCCCTCTCTTC